ATGAAGCACCTATCTGTGGTCCTGGGTCTCCAAGGCTCAGGATTGGATATCGTGAGTCATTGAGAGTTCAGCTGTTTCTGATAGTTTTTCTAATATTTCAGAAGAGACTCTGCATGGCCCTCCCTGTCTCTGCCTCACTCAATCGCAGCTGGCAGCATCATAAAATCCTGACCATGGAGGTCCACTGTGACCTCATTGAGGTTTTGGAGCTGCAGCTCTAAGCTTGGCTCTGGCTCAGGAGGTCCATGTTGTTATGTATTATGCCTCACTGCCACCTTCTTTAAGGAAAAGAGGTGCTCATTAGCTCTTAGCAGAGCAGAGATTCATTGCAGAGTGTCATTGAGGGCAGTAGCAAGAGGATAGGGACAGGGTACTGAGCTCACTCTCTGGCTGAAGCATTTCTCTTTTCTATGGAATGAAGAGGCATGAGAAATCCAGGAGAGAAACTTCTAGGGGAGGAAAAAGGCTCTTGGCTGGTGGATTCCAGCCAGAGATGGTGAGAAGAGACCATTCTTGCTTCTCAAATGTGCAGCCTGGCTTGGACCATAGTCCCATGGGCCAAAGAGCTCTTCATTTCCTCTCAAGTAAAGCCTTTGCCTTGGGAGGGTCCAGGGAGCCTTGGCTTTCAATCTTTTCTCTCTCCCCTGGACGCAGTGACCCAGAGGCAGACTTTTGCGTGTTTTGGCCTGAGGCCTTATAGTGTTTGCTACAAAGCAGTCATTTTTAAAATTGATGTTTTATGTCATGGGACTCTTGCTTCAGTGGCAATCTTGGGCAGAAGCTTTATATAATAAAGCAAGGTTTCTCAGTCTCAGTACTGTGGACATTTTGGGCTGGTGATTCTTTGTGGCGGGGAGCTGTGCTGTGCACTGTTGGGCGTTCAGCAGCACCCCTGGCCTCCACCCACTGTAAGGCAGTGGTACTCTTTTTCCCCAGTTGTGACAACCAAAACTGTCTCCAGGTGTGGTCACACGATTGCTGGGGCAAAATGGCCTCCCCTCGAGGACCACTGTGTTAAGAGACTAAAGTGGAGGGGATTTGTTTAAGGAAAGGGTGAGAGCCTGGAGCCCCCCTTTGCCTTCCTCTGCTCCCTCTCCTCCCTATTCCTGACTGAAGCAGGGACACCCAAATTGAGGTCAGAGCTGTAGATCCCCAGGAGGGCCACTGCCACTGCCACCACACATGCTACAGAGCTGTGTGGGCACATTGACCCATGTCCCGGCATGGCTGATTCTTCTCCCCCATGGTGGGAGTGGGTTTGTGAGGGGCCCTGGCAGGGCTGAGCCAGGCCAGCTAGGGGTCCTAGAGCAGAACCATCCGTCACCACCCCACTCAGGGTTCGGGCACCTGACCTTCCTATAGAAACGTGTTGTTGCTGATGGTTCTTCAAATGGCAAAACATATGCTAAAACAAGTGCTCACTGGAAACCACCCCAGCAATCCAGAAAAGCTACAGAAAGGGGAGGCCATGTGTAGTTGTATGGACCAAGTCCCCACTACTACCTTTAACAAAAGCGAACCAAACCAGCTCTCCTACTTTGTCTTACTTATTTATTTTTTTAGAGCTTGCCTTTCCCACTTAACCTCTTGGCCTCCCTGAGAGCACAAACCAGCCAGCAGAGTAACCCTCGTTGACCCCTCCCCACCCCCACCCTGGTCTGGTACCAAGTGGTGAGTCATAGGAGAACTTGGCAGGCACCCGGCGATGTCATCCGCAAATGTCAGGCCTGCACCTTCGCCGTCCTGCTCTTCCTTGGAACCTGCTCTGATGTGGCATCTGCGCATTCCTTGAACCTGTTTATAAATTTCTGCTGGAACGGTTTTCCTAGAGGTCGTGAGTGACAGGTTTCCTACCGCTGCACCCTTCTGCCACGTGGGGATTTTTATCAATGATTGCTGAAAAAAAAATGTCAACTTCCAGCAGAAGCCTGATGCCATTTTTAGCTTGAAAACTGAGAAAAGACTACTCAGCCTCTGGAAGGCACAGAGGGAGAATAATCGGCATAGCTGGCTCTGCCCCAGGACTCACGTGTGCCCCACGCTGCCTGAGGGCTTTTTAACGTAGTCTTGTCAGTGATCGCACCATTCTTACCAGGCAGGTGTGTTCTCATCCCCATTTGGCAGATGAAAAAACTGAGCCACAAACAGGTAAAGTCACCTAGACAGGGTCACATAGGTAGAAGTAGGGATGGGATGCTGGTTCCAGGGTAGGGTTCAGTAACTTTTTTCTGCAGAGGCCAGAGAGTAAATATTTTAAGTTTTGTGGCCACATCGCTCACGCTTCACCTATTCAGGTCTGTCATTGTAGCTTAGAAGTAGCCATGGGTGACAGTAAATGAATGGGCATGGACAAAGAAATTTGAATTTCATATCGTTTTCATGTGTCACAAAATATGATTCTTCTGATTTTATAAAAATATAAAAGCTATTCTTAGCTCTGGAGCTGTCCAAAAGCAGGTGGAGGGCTGTAGTCACTGTCCACTGTCCCGGAGCGTGACCTCTCACCACACTATTGCACTGTGGCCGTACAAAGCCGTTCCCTGATTTGGGAAAATGCAGACTCACCCAGCAGAGGAAGTGGTGGTCGTTATTCTATTTCACAGAGGATTCTTTGCAGCCAGGAGTACGTCCATTTCCCCACCACAGCTCAGGGTGTGCCTTGGTTGGGGTGGGGTCAGTCTGTGGGCCATGAGGGCTGAGAAAGATAAAGTTTTGGATGCAGTAGTGATTGATAGCCCAACTGTAATAAAAACATATTTATAGAATTCAAGTGGAGGCTGAGAGAAATGATTCCACTTATTTGAACAATTTGGTTCACAGTCCCTTGTTGGGAGCAGATCCTCGTGGGATGCTGGGCTCCCGTGAACAAAAGGTATTCTGTGCAAACACTGAATCTCCTTGGGAACTTATCAGTGGCTCAGGGACCACACCGGGGGACCTAGTGGCACAGGCAGTCCTGCTCCTTCTGGCTTTCCTTTTTGTCTGAAATGTTGTCAAGGTCCCTGCCGTGATGAGACCAGACCACCCAAACTGACCTGGGGCTACGAGGCTTCTAGGGAGAAGACTTTGGACCTGGAATCCAATCCAATACCAACCTGGCCACCTGGTCCATGTCCCCAGCAGATGCCAGTGTCTCTGGCTGCTCAGCAGGGACTTTGAGAGAATGTGGTACAAAACAGGCTCGCAGCGTACCTTATCGCTCTGCGGCTCTGAAATGCTTCCAGAGGCCCTGGCAGCCAGAGGCTTGCTGCCTTCCTGGCTCTGGCTCGACTTGGTGACAGATGGCAGAGCTACGGGTGTGGTTGGGCTGGGGAGGAGACGTCTGGGGAAGGTGGCTGTCACTTTTCTGGCCAGAATGTGCCTTCGGTAGCTCTGTCGTGAGATGAGCTATCGCCTCTCTGTGCTCTTCACTAAGATGGTACTCAGACCTCATGGGCACTGACTGAGAGTCGGTCCTAGGAGGGAGAGGTGGGCAGCGGGAGGCCTTTTCTTGAGATCCTCTGGTGCTCCATGGGACAGCAGGTGTGTGTGAATGGTCATCTTCTGCATGGCTTTACAGCTGGGAAGGCTTCAGTAATCGATAGTCTAATGGTTCTGAACCTAAGGACCCCAAAAGCAATAATGAGGGATATTTGACCGCAGCGTTTGGTCATTGTCAGAAGCGCTAACGGAAATCAGATCCCTACCCCTGACAGGCCTTGTTTTGCGAATAGAACTTTCAAGTTTCCTTGCTTTGGGCTGGAATTTATGCATTGGGTGAGTGAGCACTGGTTTGTGTCTGCTGATGAAAAGCTCTGGTTAATGGTGATTTATATCTTTGATTAATAAATCCGAGAAGATGAATTAATTAGTACTTAATACATGTAGTGTGCTTGCCAGACACAAAGCTCCTTAAACATGAGCTCTCCAGGGAACAAGTTCTAAAAGGAGATTTTTTGTGTGTGTGATGAAAAGGGGAAGAAACTGCTGATCTAGGGCAACCCTCTCCTTTTACAAATGGAGAAATTAGAGGCCCAGAGAGGTGAAAGCACGTGCTCAAAGTCACGGATGCCGGAGTGTCAGGCGAAGCTGGACTCTGGCTCCTTGAATATTAGATGCGTGTTCTCTCCACCAAACCCTGGGCCTCCCTGTCCTTAGGGAGCCTTCTCTGCTCCGGAGTCAGCTGTGCCACATCAAGCCATTGGTTTCCTTGAGCTCCAGAATGGATTGGGCTGTGGTCACCCCAAGGAGGCTATCAGTGTCTGGACCCTGGTGGCTGCTGGAGGCAGATGTGTGTCCCTCCTTGTCTTTTCTACCCAGAAGCCACGCCCACTGGCAAGCCAGCACTATTTTTTTTTAAGCCGCATCATTTGTGTTGCCTTTACCAGTGGGAGCTAATAAAGACCCTTAGGAAATCTTAAATACAGGGTATCCCAAAAGTTGCCCCAAAAGTCACGATACATACAGAAAAGGGGAAGTTGTAGCTAAATGTACCTTTATTTACAAAATAGTCATTAGAGAATTTTACAAAGAGGCAGCCAACCACATAGACAATATTTTATAAATATTTTGTAAAATTTCTAATATTTTATAAATGTACATTTAGCTACAATTTTCCCTTATCCCTACATATGGTGATTTTAGGGGTGACTTTTGGGACACCCTGTAGGAAAAAAGAAAGAAAGGGAACAGAGGGAAACTCAGAAAGGCAAGCAAGGAAATTAGGCTTCAAGTCTGAAGAGTGGAGTCTTTCTGGAGTTTGGAGACACTGAATGCCATGTGTGGTGGGCACCTGGACCCAGTGAATCCGTTCAATTCTTACAACGCCCCCGTCAGGCTCATATGTCCCGCCACTTAGAGGAAGAAACTGAGGCTCAGAAGTATTTGGGGACTTGGCAGAAGCCTAGCTGTGTCAGGCCCATCCAAGATGCAAACCAGATGTCTCTGGGTTGACAGCCAGTGCTGTGCCAGTACCCCTGCCACCCTCCCAGACCTGACTCTCGCTCTCCTCCTCCCTGCAGACACATAGAGAATTGGCGTAGCCTGCACACGCTCAACGCCGTGGACATGGAGCTGTATACGGGACTTCAAAAACTGTGAGTGTCCCCGGTTCACTTCCCGGGTGGGGCATTGGGTGTGGCAAGGCTGCCTTCTGTGCTTCCCCGGCATGGGACTTTTCTGGCAGAGCTGGTGTTATCTACTTAGGAGATGTCATGGGCTTCAAAGGCCATCTCTTCACTGCCCTGCACTTCAGTCCAGCCCAGAGAGGTAGGGCTTGTGTGTGGAAACAGCCTGAGGTGGGCCCTGGAGCCCTGTCCTCAGCCCTGTGCCTGGCTACTGAGCTCCTTGCGGTAGGAGATCTCTGCCCCTCTTCCTTGGGGTGTTGGTGCTAGTGGGTATGAGGGACTGGGACAGAAGAGATACCAAGTGGACTCTAGCCCTGTCCTTGTTGACCCACCGGGAGCTCCCTGCTGGTCAGGACATGTGGTGGTAGGTACATACACTGCTGGCCCATGTTCCAGCCTCTCACAGAGCCCCAGGGGTGTGAGCCTGGGTGCGCCACTGGGCGTGCCTGGGGATGGCTGGTGGAGGAGAGACGGCTTGACCTGCAGCAGCTGCCACAGGGCCAGCTGTGGCCTAACTGCCTGTTGGTCTCAGTCCAGAGCAGACGCCCCTCTGCTCCCTGACCCCACTGATTCTCTTTTCCTTTCTTGCCAGGACCATCAAGAACTCAGGACTTCGGAGCATCCAGCCCAGAGCCTTTGCCAAGAACCCCCACTTGCGCTATATGTGAGTAGAGGCGGGCTATGCGGAGGGGGGCGCATGTTGAGGAGCGAGCCCTGCGCGGAGGGTCCAGACCTGGCAGTGCCACTGTGTGTCCTTGGTCAAGGCCCTGAGCTTCCTTGGGGCTCCCATTTTACCTCTCAAAAGGAGGGTTTTGGATTTGATGATCTGCAAAGCTCCTGTCTGGGAAAAGGAAAAGTCTGGGACTAAGGCTTAGAAAGAGGGTGTCCCAACTCCCACGTTTATTCACTTTTATGATGAAATTTGCCATCTTATGGGAATGTAAATGATAGGAAGTTCCACTTATATATAATGTGAATACTGCACTTCTGAGACTGTTCGTGGATCTGCAAATGTGTGTGTGTGTGTGTGTGTGCACCTGCACGCAGGTGTTGGGGACGAGGCCTGGAAGAGGAGAGAAAGCAGGACCAGACTAGATCTTGTATCTAAACAGTCTCTGGGTTCAATGGGGAAGAGCTCAGAAAAGTGGAGAAACCTGTGGAAGGTCACACAGCTTTTGGGGGGGCAAGCTTGAGGTCACATGGCTATGGGTGGGTGTTCCTGTCTGTCTGTGTCTCCCCCAACCTGCCTCGTCTGATTGGTGGAAGGTCTCTGACTGGACCTAGTGGAAAAGCATCACACAAGCTTGGTGCTTCCTCTCCCAGTGTAGTTTCAGGCTGATAGACCCTGGGAAGGATTGCTATTTTTAGAGGGCAAAGGTGGACATGACAGAAAGCCTAGGGATGAGACAACAGGGGAAATGCTGGCCAGCTGCATTCACGGGGGGGGGGGGTGGTTGCTGTCTGGGACAACACTTCTTCAAGGATAGTGGCTGTCCTGGACATCGACTGGACGTGTTCCCAAAGAGCAGAAATTTTGCAGCAACGAGGTAGGGTGGGGTCTACTGCATCTGGGGAGACAATGGAGGTGTGGCAGTCTTTCACTGGTCACTTGAAGATTTCGCTGTTTGAGGCCCTTTGCGTTGACATTGGAAGGTTAGCCCGGATGGATGGGAATCTCGTCTGGAGAGGCAGAGCCTTTCAGGGAAGTGGAGGGCAGAGGAGCCAGGGCAGGAGGAAAGAGCGTAGGCCATGGTAGAGGGGGAGTTGTTTCTCTTTGGGGGTCCTGGCCCTACCCATGGGTCTCTATGTGTTTTCCTAAGCACATAGTGAGTGCTCAATAAGAATTGTTTTTCAATCAGTTACGGCCACCTCTGCTTTGTGCTGAAATTTCTTTCCTCCCTCTGGAAATAGCAAGCTCTGTGGCCACTGCTCAGGGCTAGATGTGTCAGTGCCAGGGGACTGAGACCTCCCTTTTGATGGCTGCGCTTAGCCGTTGCCCTCGGTGAACCTCTGTGGGGAGGTTCTCCTTATGTGTGTTCTCTGCAGCTCAAGGCATAGCTGGGATCAGAGAAGGGCCTTGGACCAGATGTTCCAGGTGTTTATTTTATTGAGGGCTTGAGTTTCATTATAAAATACCCCTGGGAAAAGCTTTTGACATCTGAGAAGTCTCCTTTTTCATAGTAACTTGTGCAAGGGTCACAAAGCCAAATGCCCGTGGTGGACAGGGTGGGGAGAGTAGAGACTGGGACCAGGAGTCCCCTCCCAAGGGATAGCCAGTAAGTGGCTCTGGCTGACCATGTAGGGTGGGGCCCAGTACTGCCAGACTTGTAGTTTCAAGAAGATTTGAAGATCCACTTAAGTTTTAAATACTGGCAATTAAA